ATCTGACATGCCCTCGGTAAAGCTTTCCTGGCTGTAACACTTGGAATGGGATTTCACAAGAACCAGCTATGACCTGGATTCAAACCCCATGGAAGCCAGATCCTTCACCTACCCTTCACCCTACCCTGGTTTATGCGTGTCTAAAACCAGACAGTGGAGTACTGAGGTGTGATACAGTTCTTCCCGTTAACTTCAATAGGTTTTGGATCCAGTCTGATGAGATTTTAATAACGGTTTTAAATGTTGTGGTTGCCAAAGCTATGTTATGGATTGCACTGGCAGTTCCTCACTCGGTTTTCATTGCCTTTTTACTTCTCTGTTCAAGACAACTATCTCTGTGAATAAGGTAGTACTCACCAAAACCTGGGAGGCCAGTGTCCTGAAGTTCTATAGAAGGCATTCTTCCTTTCTAAAGAAAGAAAACAACAAAATTGGATTGTAATGCCGCAATCTCAGGATAAGGAATTTAGCTGAAAAAAAAATTGCTTAAATGAAGACTTATAATTCTTACTGAAATTTTTCTTGATGTTTCAGAAGCATCTACTAAAAATGCTGATGCACAGTAGATATCTAATAATAACAAGGGGTATTTAGATTGAATGGAAATATCTCTCTCTGAAAACAGGTGGTGCTTCTGTCATGGCAGCTTCTGGGTCTTTGAAAGTACATAGAGGGCACAGTCTCCAAGCAGGTAAGTGTAAGTGGTTATGAGGTATGTGTGTGCATGTAAACTTAAACTAACTTAAATTATTTTGAACTTCAGAAAATGTTAAAGGTAATGTATGACTTGATTCTCTATTGTAAGATTTACTTATTTCTTTGCGTTTTTTGCTTTGAAGGGTTTTTGTTAGAAAGGCATTGACAGATGGGATAAGTTTAGAAGAGGCAGTCAGTGACAGATGAGATAAGTGTCAGAGCATAGGCAGTAATCTTATTCACAGCAGCAAAATGCTGCCAGCACTTTTAACAAAAGATATCCACCAAAAAACCACCACCTTGGGCCATGAGAAATCCTGTACTTTAGCAGTGTTGTGGTGGAAAAAAAAACCCACTACATTTAAAGATACTCCTTCACGATGATGGAGAAACATCAGCAGATACAATTACAAGTGTTTGTCATTCAAAATTAATCCCACTGTGTTCATTCTATGGGCATAGATTTTAGCTTGCATTGTTTGAACTGGGATGGAGTCCAAGATCATGAGAATTGGGACATCTTTTTTCAGCTTACTGCTCTGGAAGCACCGGTGGTGCTGTGCAACCTGGCTTCTTGCAAAGATGGTCATTTGCACTTGGAAAGCAAAGTTATCTTTGGAAGGGCTAGTTTCAGCTTTTTCTACAGAGCTTTGTCAGAAATCAAGAAGTGATCCATCATGCTGGAGGTGGAATTTTAACAAGTCTTCCAGATGCTCCCAAGATCACCCACGCACTTCTCTCTGATTCATGCATTCAAGACAGCTTTGCTCCCCCATCCATGTACAGCAAAACACACTGTTGACTTCAGTGGCCTTCAGTGTGAATGCTTGTAAAAATGTCCTAACGTTTATTTCCTTGCTGTTGCACTTGTTAGAAACTGCTGACATACCACCACAGAAAAGTCAACACCAGCCACTGTTTATACTTTCTGAGATTTTTCAGTGTGATTAGTCAGATTAGAAGGTTACAAGTCAAAGCCAGAAAATTATATGCTTTGTTTTCATTGTACACATTCTTAAATCCAAAGCCATTGATGGCATTCCTGTATTCTAGGTCCTAAAGGTGGTTATGAGATGCTGACACTTCCTGCAGAACCTGGAACTCCTGAGGAACTTGGTGAGTAAAGACCAATGCAGCCAGTTGCATTAGAGGACACTAACGTCTCCTGTTTCTGTTTCAATTTCCTTTTTTGTTGTGATCTCTTCTAAGTTTTTATTTTTGAGGTGATGCCCTTTGAACATGTCAGCTTTATATGCGTGCTTATACACATACACACACGCTTATCTCAGGGCTGTGTTTATGGTGTTGGCTTTCTTTCTGCATCATTTATCACACATTTCTGAGAACAGTGCCTACATAAGGTAGAAAATATGAATAAATAACATTTGATGAAAGAAAGGTAAAACATCAGTTTCAAATATAATTTTCTTCTTCCCTCCTCAATTATACTATTTTTTCCTTTCTTTTCCCCCTCATTTCCACACCACTGTATTTTCTCTTTTATTCTTCTCCTGTTACTTGCTTAACCATCTTTTTTTCTTCCTCCCTTTTCCCTCTTTCTCTTTAAGCAATCGTGATTCTCTCAGAATGTTGCAATGATGCATTTTGGTCTGTTTTTCTCTCAAATTCTTCTGCTGTAATTATCTCAAATACTAGTTCTGACCGATCGTGTAAGCATCTTCTATCTCTGTCCACCCAGAACGGGCTGCTGAAAGAACTGTCTTTGTTCATGGCTCTCTGTGCGTGTGCCCTGTTTTCTTAGGATGAGCTTATGACTGTCTTGGGCTTTTCAAACAAACCTTTCTCTTCAAACAAATATAAGCCATTTTTTCATGTATAATGAATTGTGGGGTTTTTTTTTTATTTGAAGGAAACGTGAAAAGCCAAGTATTTTGATGTTTTCAAAGAAATGAAAGATTCTATTAAGACAGCACAGACTAAACAACAGAAGACTCTTCCTTTCCTTCCATTCCAGTTTGTCCAACTTTGTTCTTGGTTTATTTTTTTTCCTTTGAGAAGTATATTTGATTGTTGCCAAGGGTTTCTTTGTTCTGTGTGTTTCTTTTGCTTTTCTTGCACAAAGCCCCACCAATTAATGTATTTTTCTCCATGTGTGTATTTTTAGTTCTCAGGAAAATCACTTGGCTTGTCTGCATCAGGTATGACATTCAGCTTCTGCAAACCTTTCAACTGTTTAGCTCTATAGAGAAGTTTACTAGTTTTCATGCTAACTAGCTTTGAAGAAACTTTAAACTCCTGCTACATCATTTTAAAAGACTGATAGAAAGACTTCAAAAATTATCTTTTCCTTCATGATTATTCGTGACTTTATCAGTCTTTGAGATTGTCATTTGCTTACAACTTTTACTATTTGGGATACAGGTTTTCAATGCTATTATGCTGAATCCCTTTTGGCACAGTCAGGCCAAACTCCTTTAAATACTTTAGACAGAAGAATTGAGAATAATTTATGAGAATTATGTTTGATGAAGATATAGAAATTTCCTCTGTTTGTTTCTTTTTTTTTTTCTCCTTTTTTTTTTATTCGTTACACCTGGCTTTGGAACAACAGCTTGAAGCCTGATGTTCAGAAAAATGTTCAGTTACTTCATGGATATTCCTATGGATTCTTTATGAAAATCTGTTAGAAAGAAGAATTGAGAATAATTTATGAGAATTATGTTTGATGAAGATATAGAAATTTCCTCTGTTTGTTTCTTTTTTTTTTTCTCCTTTTTTTTTTATTCGTTACACCTGGCTTTGGAACAACAGCTTGAAGCCTGATGTTCAGAAAAATGTTCAGTTACTTCATGGATATTCCTATGGATTCTTTATGAAAATCTGTTAGAATCATAGAATCGTGCTTCCAGAAAAGCCCTAGAAAAGAGCTTTTCTTCGGCTTTTTCCTGCAGTAGCTCTCCCCAGTCGCAGTCTTACCTGCTCTGAAGTGGATCTCCGCAGAAATTTAGAATTAGAAAATTGGCCAACTTTCCAGGCTTTTATATTTTTGGACTGCACAGTAGACTCCTTTGATTTAAATAGCTTAAGCCTGGAGAGATTCCATTATCCTGGAACCTGCCTCTGACGACTCTTGCTGTTGCCCGACTTTGCATGAGCTCAGTTACTTCATGGATATTCCTATGGATTCTTTATGAAAATCTGTTAGAAAATTGGCCAACTTTCCAGGCTTTTATATTTTTGGACTGCACAGTAGACTCCTTTGATTTAAATAGCTTAAGCCTGGAGAGATTCCATTATCCTGGAACCTGCCTCTGACGACTCTTGCTGTTGCCCGACTTTGCATGAGCTATCTGCTAGTCATAATACAGTCCAAGAAGAAGAAAAAGTTCTCCTTAATGGTTATTCACAGTTGCTGTTGTTTGGATATAGGAAATCATTCGTTTCTATGCTAGAAAATCCTTGATCACCCACTGCCTCTCCATTCACACCCCGATAGTGTCTGAATGGACAGAAATGCAAAGCAGTGATTTGGACAAATAAAGTTTTGATACAAGTTTTATGTGGAGACAAGAAAGGGCTTACTGGGAGAACTTCAGGGAACAAGAGAACCTGAATGTGATACCATTTTTCCTCTGCACTCCTCTGTCCTAAATAGACTGACCAGCAGAAAGCATTTAAGGGTAAGAACTTCAACTGGGCTGGACAGGCAGGTGATTACTGGCCTGCTGAGCAGGACACTGAGAATGTGACTCAAAGCCTTGCCAAAGCACAGAGGGAATAGAGGTTTGTATTTGGGTGTTTTGTAGCCCAGGTAATTCTAGGAAGTCTCTTGGTATTCATGGATTGTGAAACTAGATGTAGGTGCCACGTGTCAGTTAAGGAGTTGAAGGCTGAAATCCTGGTTGGCCAGTGAACAGAACCTTCTACCTTCTCCCTTAGTTTCAATTCTGACAAGATTTGAATAATTGAAAGTAGGACTAGAAGAGGTCTTGAGAATTCATCCAGTAGACACAGAAGTTGTCTTTAAGTCGGAATCACTTTACAGAAAACTTTCCTAGGAGGTGTTAGTCTATCTCTGTTGTAGAAATTTCTAGATGCAGAAATTCTTCAGCCTCTGTGGGATTTCCTCTAGTGTTCTTGTGATCTTTGCTGTAATCAGAAAGGTTTTCTCATTGTCTAATCTTCTACTTTTTTTCCTACAATTGAAGTCTTTTGTTACTTGATCTGTCCCCACTTGGCATCACAGAATCACAGAATGTTAGGGATTGGAAGGGACTCCAAAGGATCATCTAGTCCAATCCCCCTGCCTGAGCAGGACCTCTCCCTGCCTGAGCAGGACCATCATTCCTGTCTTTTTCAACTCAGCTGTTGATGCTGTCTCCTCCAGCTTGCCTTCCCCTTGCTTTAAACTGTTCTTCAGTCCCTGCTTTCGGGATGTGCATTCTCAAATTGTAGGGATTTTGGTTGCTCTCTTGCAGATTATATAATATCCCACACCTTCCTAGAACTAACTGCCTCATGTAAGGCTTTACTAACCTGAGTTCGAGCTGAAGGCCTTGTGAGGCACTGTTGCATACGGTGTTTCTGTTTGAAAATTTCTGCATGGTGTTTGCTTTCTGTTGCAACACAGTGAGGTCAGTGGCTGCTGTCTGTGGTCTTTTGCACAGATCCTGACTTGACCAGTCTCTGAGGATCTTTTCTGCAGAAATCTCTTCTCATGTTCCATTTGCGACTGAGGAACATGTCTTTTGGCAAGCTGAGTTGTTGCTGCTGAATGTTTGCTTTCTGAACATTTGACGGAACATTGCATTTTTATGAGATGCATCATTGGTCATTGCAAACAGTGTCTATCATAACATGTTACTTATTTTAGAAGGGGCAGTAGGCTATTCAGCTGACGTCCCTGCATCAGATCGACCTCACAGTGAGACAGCCACCTATGTTAATATTCCTGTCAGCCCTACTTCCAAAAAACAACTTCATTACATGGAACTGGAACGTCAAGAACCAAGCACAAGCATAAGAGGTAAGGAAGTCTGCAACACTATTTAAACAGCAAAGGAAGCAGTAATGCAGGCTGTATTTAGAATTTTAGTTTCTCATCTCCCCATAGACTCCTGCTAACAGAGGAGTTAAACTCTGGTACGTTTGTGAGGCAGTTCTTGTAACTGCCAACTCTTTTGGAAAAGATTTTTAAATTTTAAGGTTCTATAAGATGTCGCATCCCTCTGACAGGTGCATTGTATATGCACTCCCTCTAAAATGAGCATTTCTGTGTCTGTGGTTTGACAGACAATAATTTGCTTCGTGTTCTCAAGATTTTCATCGCATATATTAGGACTACACTTAATTTTTCTTGCTTGGTTTCAGAAACAGGGCTGTGGATGTAGGTGCACAGGGCTTGCTCCTAAGGATGCTGACTCTGGAGTCATGTAGCAAATGCTTCAGAACAGAACACAGTGGTGTTCTATCTTCTCTGTATGAGGATATGTGAAAGTGCTACAGAGGGGAAGCCAGCCCAAGTATTTGAATTTTTTTTTTTTTAATTAGTTTGTCTGGATCTGGGTATCGAAACAGAGTACAAAAACATGCATTATAGCTGCCATGTATTGTCATTTAGAGATGCATTCCTCCTTACTGAAAGCACCTAATCAGGATCTTGCATTTAATTTCTCACATTTGGTATTGATGGGATTTCCATGTATAGTTTTCAGTTACTGAGATTTTAATTTTTATACTTTTAATTTCTGCAAGTTTGTTAACTTTGAAATGCTAGTGCTTTCCCATTGGCTTTTTGTTTTGGTTGTTTATATAGCTCTAGTTAAGTAATTCTAAACTTCTCCCGGATTTTAATGTAGTTCTCTGTACAAAACCCTGTTGATATGTAAAAGTGGTGTTTTATCTTCATTTTAAAGACAGTGAACCAAGGCATTAAGAACGAAAGGCTGAATTCCATAAACTGACATAAACTTTCCTAAATGTCAGTCACCAACCCATGCTCAACTTGTATAACTTTGAAGGTGCCTCTAATGACCATAAATATTTATTTTTTCATACTATAGTTTTCCCAGCCTCCAGGGTTGTATGTCTGCACCTGTATAGAACAGTTCTGCTTCTGAACAGACTGAGCAGCTTTTATCTCTCTTATTGTGAATTATCAGACTAAACTGTCATTCTGTCTAAAGCTGAAGATGGTTGATCTCATAAATGTTCACAGTGCCTAGTCCAGACAAAGAAGAATCCTTTCTGCCTTACCAATGGTGTTTTGCTTTCAAATACCAGATGTTTTCATTACTGACTAGTAGCCTGCTGATGAAGCCCCCTAGAAATGGAAGAGCTGAGGTCAATTTTGTCTTCTGGGAGGAATGGGAGTGGAGATTCAAACCTGAGGCAGAAATACAAGTGGTTCATTTGCTTATTTGAATAAAAAGATAGCTAAAATATGTAGAAGACAAACCTTTTGAGGTTTTTTTTTTTTTTTTTAGTTGTGATTATCATCTTACTCCCTTTATAGAACTTGCTTTAAGACCAAACCAATATCATCTAGGAAATCTGTGGAAGAAGTGTCTCGATAGCTTAACCCTGGGTCAATTTTACCCAGGCATATACGAGGGGTATAGTCTTTTACATGGTTTTGTTTGGTATTTCAGGGAGTGGATCATCCCGATATGCACAGATTGACATTGCAGCCACCGAGACAGCCCACAAAGTGGGAACGCAGCACGCTCAGTGCCGAGAGGAACGCTTGCAGGAGCTAGAGCAGAAGAAGAAAGGGGGTCAGCAGTGACCTGCCTAGGAAAGAACTTTTTGCTCACCATAAATTGGTACTAATTTGTCTTCCAAAGATTTGCATTTATTGTAAAAAATACTCATACAAAAAGCTGCCATTGCGTACTGCATTTATACCAGATTCATTCCAATATCTTGATTCCTGATTGGAAAACTGGTAGCATGAGGAGTATGTGTGGTTTTACTTTTTCTTCTAACTTGGTTGCAAAGTCCAGATTTTTTTTTTCATATGCAATGATGGATGTAAGTTACCTTTTTCTATAATTCTAAAATCCTGGAGAATCTGGAGCCAATTCCAGTGTTTATTAAATGGTGGCATTTCCTTTAAAAATAAAAAACTTGAATGTGTGCAGATAAGGGAATGTGAGTGTGTGCGTGGTAAGTGTACACATATGTTTGCATGTGTGCGTATGTATGTATGTAAGCACACATTACTGGTAAAATATATGTATATATCTGAGTGTATAAAATATGTAAAACCTCTATTAATATATTAATGGACTGTTACAAAAGCAAGAAAATTCAGTGCCTGATTTTTTGCAGGCACAGTTTTGTTCAATTTATGTGCTTATTTATGAACCTGCTTAAATTTACCTGTGGGTAATTCAGTTTTATACCTCACCAAGAGTTCTGTAGCTTTGGCTAAAGTTGCTCAGATTTAAAAGCTGCAGTGTCAGGGATGCATGTGTGTATGCATACAGACAAGAGCACACACAAACAAGTTGTTTAATTTAATTATGCCTATAAAGCAAAGTAATGTGAAGGGACATTTTGGGTGCTTCTGTTCTTAGAAATCCTGTTTTAGGCACCATAGGCTTTGATTTCATAGCTGATGAGTACCTGTAATTCTTAGCAATTTTTTCTGGAGTTGAACGTACGTAACACTTAGAAAATTGGGTCTCAGGTTTCTCATACAGAATATCTCAAAATCAAGGTGATCAAAAGAAATACTCACTTTTGAAAACTGTGTCCTTCATTTCTATCTCTAAAACTATCTCTAATGTAAACCAGCATCAAAAGCAGATCATCCACCTTGAACCTCAAACTTTCATTGAATAATTCTCTGCTGTCCCTAAATAGCATAAAACCAGTTCTGTGTGAGAGCATGATGTCTTCAGAGAGGCTACAGAACTGAGGCACAACAGAATGTTCTGTTGTAATATAGGTTTATCCACAAGTCTTCGACATCTTGCTTTTATACAGTGAGATTGTGACTCAAAACTCGACTCAGTTTCTTGCGTTGCATTGTCTATGCAATTGTTGTGTTCTGTGTATTTCTCCTGAAACAAAATGTTATTTAAATGAAATGTTATGTTAGTGAAATTAGACTAACAAGGCAGTGTACTTATGAAAAAACCGAAATTTTGGCCTGCCATAACGTATCAGCTTTGGCTTCCAGAAGTTATCATGAGTGATATCTTGGGTATCATGAGTTTTTGACTGTGTCCTCTTAAGATACAATAGCAGAGCTCGGTTCTGTTTTTCAGATATGCATTACAATTTATATTGGTGAGTGGAAGTTTGGTGCCAGTGAGGGTTTCACTAAGTGACTTAGAAGGAGAGATGGGTGTTTGATTTTGAGGCAGAATTTAACCTATAAATTTATTTGAATGTAGCCTCAATAATATAATAATGTAAAATATCAGAAATCTCTCAAATAAATAAAATTATGTTTGAGAGTTGATGACTGCCATTGTCATCTGTCCTGTGTTAATATGTACTTTTCTGTTTATCAGCCTAGCATATTTCTGAAGGGAAAAGAAATATTTCTTATGAGATTCCCAATTCAAAAGATTTTTCTTGTTTGACAAATGGACAGTGGTGATCTGCTAAGTAGACACATATTCAGTACAACTGAAATGGCCTGAACTTAAAGCTCCTTGGGACCAGGTTTATCTAAATGAACTGCTATTCAATTAAGGATCCTCCACTGGAGGACTTGCAGGATTAAACCTCTTGCTATGTGTGTATTTGTATTTAATGTTTAAAATGAGCATATCTTGCCTGATGCACTGAAACGCAGTATTTTCCATCATAATATATAATGAAGTTGCAATATTTCTATCATAAAAATCTATTTACCAGGAAAATGTGTTACCCAGGTTCTCTACAAAGGCTGCCTTTCTGTACGTTGCTCAAAATTGTTTGCATTGAATCCTTGGATTGCAGCATGGGTAAAGATTTGACACAATAGTAAAGGTCGTCAGATTGCTGTTGGCCTTGCAAGAGGAGTCACAATTTTAAAAATATGTTTTCAGGTTGAACAGGGCTGTGAATCTGTGCACGCACATGGTTCTCTGCGCGCAAGTATTTGTCCATGTCATAGTAACTTCAGCTAGGGATAGCTGGATGGCTGGATAGAAATTTGTAATTATAACCTCTGTTAATGTCAGCATAATTATCCTATAAGGCTTTCCACAAACGAAGTATTTTACTTTCTAAGCTTCTGTTTCTCTTTATTACTTCACTTGAGTAGGACAAATAGAACAGATGACTTTCAGGTATTTTTTAAAGTCACTTCATTTCTCTTGTGCTAAATTACATTTAGAACGCTGAAGCAGGAGGCCAAACCTTACTGTTGCATGTTAAAAACTGGTTGGTGGTTGTTCTTGCAGTACCTTGCAGGCCTCCCTGTCAAGTTACAGGCTTGACATTTCTGTTGAAGAAACTAAAGTTTTCTCATTTGAACACCAAGAGCTCACAGAAATGGAAAACCTGTTTTCCATTCCTTCAACTTCCAGTAGCAAACCGGTGAAAATGGAAGTCAAGCCATAATGCTATGTGCTCACCATGTAGCTTCTATGGCTTAAATCTAGTACTGCTTGTTAATGTACAAATAGTTAGGGGTATATTCACATACCAAAAAACTTGTGCATAAGCGATCTAAAATACAGTTTGTGATTGCTATAGGACGATTCCAGATTCAGAGCTCTTTATAAAAAAAAAAAAACAAAAACACCACACCACAAAATATCTCCCACACTTTTGGAGATAAATGTGACTTGTAACTTCTGCTGGTAAAAACGAAGGATTTGCTCGTTTTTAATTCAGCATGCTACCAGAGTCAGATCTCCTCCTGCCCTTGCCAGGAGTATGAGGAATTAATCACCAGAAGAACAAAACAAAGTGATGCGGCTGAAGTAAACTTCTGTAAAATGTTCTTGAAGGACTTTAACCTGCCAGAAGCGCTCTCAGCGATGAGCAAAAGTACTGTCAGCAGGCGAAGTATTTGGGCATAACCGTTAGTGTGTTATGTACGTACCTCTGTCTTTCTGATAGTCCTACTCCGTAGGTTACTGCCAAACGTAACTACTACTTCAGTGGGTTTTACGGCGTTGTTCATACGCTGTTATGGAACATTTTTATATGCAAGTATTTGGGTGATGGAATTTCTCCAAGTTAACATGTGCTGCAGGATGGAGGGCTGAAGTTTGGAGGCATTTAATTGCCCAACAATGCAAATAGTTGTCTGGGTTTTAATAGCACTCTGGCACCTAATCGTGGAAAATGCCAGTAGGTGTCTTTAGGCATCTAAATATGTATGAAAATCTGCCCCAAGAGTTGATTTTAGCAAAGAGCTTGGAAAAATTCCTCATTTTCCTCTCTGCTGTAAACAAAACAGTTTTAATTAGCGTAGCTTGGAAAAACTATACTCAAATTTGAATTATGAGTGGTTACATTTTTATTTTTTATGAGGTGCTGAAAAATGCACCCTTCAGTAAGTACCTTCTCTAGTTTGTCTGGGCTAACACACATATTCTTTGCTAAAGTGACCAACAGAAGAAGATAGAATTTTATGGGTTATTAGGCATTAATTTCTGTTGATGCATTTTTTCAGATGACAGTTTTGTGTTACAGTTTTATGGCATCTTTTATCTGGGAAGATGCTCAGCTCTCATCTGGCCACTCATACATTATTTTGCAATCTAGATTGAAAGGAAACATTAATTTAACATCATACAGCAATAAGAACAAACAAAGTGGAGTAAGGATGGAAGTTTTAGACATTATTAAATGGATACTTGTAAGGAGTAGCTCTGTATACATGTCTTTCCAGTGTAGGTGAGTAGGATGAAGGAAGAGAGCCATTTTTAAAAAATTTGCATGGGTTCTGATGAGTTCAGTTTTATGCTTTATATGACAGGCTTCAGGGTAGCTTCACTCTGAGGCTTAGGACAGTGATGATCAGGTGGTTACAGATTAAAACCAACTCTCCTGTGGACTTTTCTTTGAAAGGCTGGAACATAAGTGACAGGAAAATACATGCAATCCACATCCTGGATTCTGATACAATAAATAGTTTGATAAGGCAGTGGGCAGGTTTAGGAAAGTGCAGCTGCCAAAGTAAACTTTGAGTTTAGTCAAAACTTTAGGGTGAGGGAAAGTTAACTTTAAAACTTACTTGCTTTCAAACATTTGTCTGCATCAGAGCATTTAGAAATAATTCAGATTTATTATCCCACTGTGTACACAGAGGCGTATGTAACACCACCGTTTTACTGAAATAATAAGCATCAACGTGGAATGTGCAGTGGGGAGGCGGGATCAGAAAGCAGATTTAGCATGACAGTAATTTGTCTCTACATTTACATTATACTGTTGTGAACTCCCATTAAAAAAAAAAAAAAAAGCCCTAGCATCTGCTATTGTGTAAGTTAAATTTTACTCGTCTGTGGGCTGAGCTGGCAATTTATGGATAGTTCACGTACAGAAAATAGAGCAGATTGCATGCTCGGAAGGGAATCTGGTCTTTGGATACCAAAGTTTTATTATGTAATGAATTGCTCAGATTCATCGCACGTCGGTGCCTCTGCTCCAGTGGGAAGATGTGCCCCGTGGCCTGCCTTTGGCTGTGGGAACACTCTCTGTCCTTTTACTGCCAACAGTCAGCGGTACTGGCCACAAATTGGGAAGCAGGAGAAAAATTCATATTGGGAGTTTGATGGAGTAGTAGGTAGGTGTCGGAAGAGGGCTGGAAAGCAACAGCTGTCCTTTGCCAGCTACTGTACTGACAGAAGCAGGGCGGTGACAGGGTGACAGAAGAGTTTTTGGGTCTGTAAAATGTAGTGTTTGGGTCAGTGCTGGAGACTGCAGGCTGGATTGTTGCTTCTCGTACAAAGTGTGGTTGTAGCAAGGAAATGGAGTTTCCTGGAAGAGGCTGAGCTTGCTGTGGTGTCCTCAGTCAGACAGAAGGTTTGCTGGCACCATCTCTACCAGGAACGGAGCGGAAACCGTGGGATGGTTAATGCCAATGTCCACTCTAAAGAGCCAGGCTGTCACGCTGCTCGTGTGACAGTGTGTCATCTTGTCATTGCACCAAGTCATGCAAATGGTCCAAGGTTGTACTG